AAAATAAAAGCCAAGTATTGAAAATGTTTGTTTAATGCATTTTGCTAAGAAATCAAGTAAAACATTTTGAAAACCACGTCATTTAGTTGAAAACCACGGCTAGCCAAGTTTACGCCGTTTCGCATGGTTTTCACTAAGCGACCAAAACGAAAGGTGGTTTTTGAAGCGTTTTTGTTGGAGAACTATTTAAATATGCCCAGAAGTAAAAACTAATCATTAAAAGTTGAAAACCACTTGGTTGGTTCGAACACCAAAAACCAACGCCGATAACCGAAAGCCGAACGCCGGTTTCCGAAGACCGAACGCCGGATGGCTTGGTTTTTGGTTTGGGCGAACTCCAATTATTCGGGATAAATTTTAAACGGAGCGTAGCGTAATGGACGTGTTAATGGCTAATTAATCACCATTAACACGTCATTAATGTGCCACAAATGCCATGGATAAAGTTATATTTTTTCAAAATCCCTTGTTATAAAAACAAATCAAGGGAGACTCTCCATCATGTGTGGTTTCATGCATGACGAAGATAAAAAGGAAAATACTTCCTTGTTTTTTTTGGAGAGAGCTCTTGATTTTCCGGCCGAATTTCCGGCAATCCCCTTCAAAGTTTTTTTGTTCGCCAACGTTCCTACATTGTTCTTGTTCGTTGGTGTGTGGTTGGTCTGTACAATCTCCACACACGATAGCGGTTTTATCCTGGGAGGAGAGTGCCCACGTTTTTCCGGTACGGTAGGCGGGCACTACTACCTTAAGGACAGCTCCGGCGACTCCGCTGTCCTTCCACGGTGTTTTTTTTTGCAAGTTTAGTTCATAAAGACTTTGTTGCATTCTGCCATAGGACATAATGTCCTTGTTGTCTAGTGCATAATGTCCTCGCAGCCCATTGCATAACGTCCTCGCTGTCCAGTGCATAATGTTCTTGCTGTCGAGTGCTTAATGTCCTCATACAACAAGACTTTTTGAAGATATAGAAATTTATTTTCAATTCTGTTTATCTTGTAATATTCTGAATAAGTTATAAATTCAGAATTTTATTTAATTTTATTTTCCGGGGCTGTTCATCTTCCGCGTCTGTTGTAATCTGTACAAAAATTGTAACACCCATCACGTAACACTTTTACCTATCAAATCAATAATATTTTTTGTAAAGCCAACACAAAATATCTCTCTCTTAAATTATATAAAAGTGCAAACATGAAAAGGAATTTGGGATGGGGAATTATATAACATTAAAGGTTACACATACCATAAAAGTAAAAAAGTAATGAACTCTATTCTTTTGCCAACTAGGAGTGTTGTCATTATAACACTTAATATAATACTCCCTCATTTCTAAAAAAAAACTTTCCTACTTGAAAAAATGTGTTTTTAAGAATTTGTAATTTTTCTATTCTTTTTTAATTTTTATTTTTCTATCTCACACATCATATTCTACCATATTATAAAGTAAGGACAAAACTAAAAAAATAATATCAAAATGACACATAATTAAAGTTTGCACCATTCAAAAAAAATATATTTAAACTTTGCATTCTTTTCAAATAAGAAAAGATTTTTTTAAGACAAAGGAGTATATTTTACAATTGATAACGTCTAGTTTTCATAATCTAAAAGTGATTGAATCATGAAAATCTAAATTTCATAGAATCTCACTTACCTCTTGGCACCGTTTTGAATTACCTTTGCACCTATATTGTAAATTCATATACCATAACCTAATCATTTGAGCATACTCACACTCTTACAAAATACAAATTCATTTCACACTTTAAAAATTTATAAAAATAAATGACCATTAATAATTCTAACAAACAAATAAACAATCAATAGCTCCAACAATCACAAACTAAAAATATATTATGTAGTCCCTCTCTGCCAATTTAAGTTGTCTATTCACTATTCACAAAGTTAAACCGTATTCACTTTCTTTACCTATTTTTGTTACTCATTTGATAAAATAATTTAGTAATGTCATCTCATATTTTGTACAACTTTTGATATAGTTTTTATTTTTAAATTCCACTCTAATTTTTAAATATATTGTACTACCTCCGTCCCAGAGTATTTGTCCACTTTCATTTTTACACACCATCCAACACACTTCTTTAATCCATTTTATCTTGTAATTTGTATATTAAAAAATTATAGAAATTATATATTAATAATCTATATGTTAAGACAAATCAAACAAGATACACATGACTATATTTAGGCTTACACATTGAGAGAATTTGATGAGTCAAAGTGCTTAGATAAACAATTCCAAAAGTCAAAACAAGACGAATACTCTGAGACAGAGGGAGTATTAAAAATAATTTCAATAAAAAAACGTAAACAAAAAAAAGTGATTTAAATTGAGACAGAGGAGTAGAGGATAAAAAATTAAATTATCAAATTTAAAAAACCTGGCAATCGAACTTTGGAAGAGTAAAGTTGAGGGTTAAGTCAGTGTGGCTGGCACAAACTTACAGTCAATGGAAACTGGGTAGCGGGCGACGTACGTCAATGTTCGGCGGTGGGGGTTGAGTCTAGAATCGTCACAAACTTGTGGTTGAGCCGTCTGTCTGAGTTGTTAGAGAAATATATGGAGTACTGGAAAACAAAAAAAAAGAAAATTAAAAAAGTCCAAACGATGTTGTTTCCATGTGGTAAATGAAAAAAGTAATTAAAATTTCCCGTAGGCTGAGTTAATGGAACTCTAGAAGAGTTAAGTTGAGCGTTGAATCACGATTGGCTGGCAACAGCTTACAATCGGTGAAATCGGGACGACAGGCAACAACATCAGCGGTCGACTATGGAGTTTAATTGAGAAAGATACGAATAATTAGGTTTTCCCATCATCTATACTATTTAAACTTACATAATACGGAGTAATAATTTTACTATTAAAATAATAAAAATTAATATTATATTATCATCATTTTCTTGAAGTTTCTTGTTTGAGGATGAAATGTCAAAGAAGGGAAAAAACTTTTTTCCCCCAAAAAGAAAAAAGATCGAGGGTATGAATGGCAATTTAAGTCAGTAAAACACAAGAGGCGCGTCGATTTTGAAATTCAAAATGTTGCCGTTAAGAGATCGAAGATTCATTCACAGGGGACGGCTATATAGGGAATTGGCTACGCGGTTATGAGATAATCGCGTGCAAATCAAACGAATTGTAGAAAGAGAGCGAGAGAGGGGATGGAGACGAAGGGTGCAACTGCTACTATAATCCCCCACGGCGGCCAGAAAACAGTCCGATCGGGGATGTCGGCGATGGAAGCTTTTGAGAAGCTTGAGAAAGTGGGAGAAGGAACATACGGAAAAGTTTACAGAGCGAGAGAGAGGGCGACAGGGAAGATAGTGGCTCTGAAGAAGACCAGGCTTCCGGAGGACGAAGAAGGCGTCCCTCCCACCACTCTCCGCGAGATTTCCCTCTTGCGCATGCTCTCTAGGGATCCACATATCGTCAAGTACCCATCATTCCCTTTTTTTAATCTTTTCTCCGCCCCCAATAATTATTATTGTTTGATTTTAGTTTTGGCATGAGTTCTAATTAAACAAACAACACTCGCATTTCTCTCTTTCTGTCTCTGATTATGCAATCCCTACCTTGAATTTTGTTCAGTTGAACAATTACATGTTTCCTTCATTTCAGTGTGTGTTTTCATCGATTCTTCATCATAACTGCGTTGATGTTTAAAATTAAAGCGTCAATTGAGGTTTGTTACTGAGTTTGTGTCTATGTATTCTGTGAAAAACAGATTGATCGATGTCAAACAGGGACAAAATAAGGAAGGGAAGACGGTTCTGTATTTGGTTTTTGAATATATGGATATGGACCTCAAGAAATTCATCCGTAGCTTCCGTCAAACCGGACAAAATATTGATCCCAAAACTGTAAAGGTCAGCAACTGGCTTGTGTCAAAATCTCCTTGTTTCATCTTTTGATTATATGTATCGATTGGATTAACAGTATTATAGTATTATGCCTTCTGAGTTATGGATTTCTTGTTGCAGAGTTTGCTTTATCAACTTTGCAAGGGAGTTGCTTTCTGCCATGGCCATGGTGTTTTGCACAGAGACCTGAAGCCCCACAATCTTCTGATGGACCGCAAGACATCAATGCTCAAAATTGCAGATTTAGGGCTGGCCAGAACCTTCACTCTGCCTATCAAGAAGTACACTCATGAGGTGCAACAACATTTATTTTTAAACCTCATTCCAATTCTAAGAAAAAATCCAATTATGATATTACTAATAATTTCATTCTACTGCCACAGATATTGACACTTTGGTACAGGGCTCCTGAAGTTCTTTTGGGTGCGACTCACTACTCAACTGCTGTGGACATGTGGTCTGTTGGTTGCATATTTGGTAAAAGAGAGTCACTCTTGATACTATATTCCTTCTCCACTGCATGACAATAATATTTTGCTAACCTTCTTCTCCCTTTCGCGATTTCAGCTGAGCTAATCACACAACATGCTCTCTTCCCTGGAGATTCTGAGCTGCAACAGCTTCTCCACATTTTCAGGTTCAGAAGATTGCTTGTAGCTTTTAGTTTTAAATCTTTAGTGCTTAGCTTGGACCTCCCACTCAGACTTGCAATGGTTTTTTTTCTTTTTCTGATGCTAGATTACTGGGTACACCAAATGAAGATTTGTGGCCAGGGGTGAGCAAGTTGGTGAACTGGCATGAATATCCACAATGGAAACCCCAACCACTCTCATCGGCTGTCCCCAATCTGGATGAAGATGGCCTTAACCTGCTAGCTGTGAGTTGCTGTCCCCAATCTTTAACACAATGTTTGGTTCAATGAATTTTGAAGGGGAAAGAAAAGAAAATGAGAGGGAAAACAAATTTCATGTTTGGTCGGAGAGGAAAAAAAGAAAAGTGGAAGGAAAAAAAATGAGAATGCGAAATGTAAGAAAAATCAAGTTCCTCTCATCTTTTCCTTCAAAATTCCTTGAACCAAAAATAGTGTAAACATCACACACTAGAAGAATCATACTCACTATCTGCATGTGCTTGTGATATAGGAAATGTTGAACTATGAACCATCAAAGAGGATTTCAGCAAAGAAAGCTATGGAACATCCTTATTTCAAGGATCTAGACAAGTCGGCACTGTGATTGCATCAAATTTGGCACATTTCTTTTCTGAAGTTTCTACTGATTCAGGATTATGGTCAATAGTGCATGCATTCTTCCATGTGGATCAATTGCTTGCCTCAAGCAACACTAGAGTTTTAGATTAAGCTTTTTATTCTCATGTTTGGAGGGATTTTATTGTATCAAAGACTACTGGCATTATTTACTTTAATGTAATGCCATTGGCAATTATATTTTACATGCTGAAAAAGGTAACAAGGAATTGAGCATTATTTACCCAATTCCTTCTGCAAAATCTCTGGGAACCTATTATCAGTGAAGCTCCCCTTTGGCAGGAGAGGCTTAAACAAACTCACTATGTTCTATTGAATCTATTCTTGACGTGAAACATGAAATATATTGTCAAATACTAAATGAAATCCTGAGTATATATATTATTGCAGTGTATCAACTCAGATGGAAACCAACCACATATAGAACGTAGACCACATAGTAAGTGAGATTGAAGCTAATCCATAAGCCCATAGCATAATCACTGAGCATTCACTCTCACCAGCTCCAAACAATTGAGTCATGGTGCCTGCAAATTGAAAAACAAATTTTCCTTAGATTGTTTCAAAATAGCAACATACGTAGAATTTTTTATCTGATTTTTCATCCTTCTAAAGTGAGCACACAGAGTTATTAATCCGCCCAATGTTATTGTGCAAGTGCATCCCAATAGGTAGAAAGATGACACACCTATGTTCATGGCAGGTGGAAGTGCAAATTGAAGATACAGCACAAATTGATATAATGGATCATTTGCAACTACTAAGCCAAAATGGATTGCTCCTTTAACAATGGCTATGCCTATTATAGGAAGGGCAATGTATCGAACAATAATGATCCCAATAATAAGGGACTTGTCTATTGATGATCCCCGCAAACCTGAAAATTGGGAAACGGCAATTAATTTTAATGCTCATTTTCTATAAAAAAAACACAGAAGAATAGTATGCGTACCTTTTAATAGGTTTCCTCCCATTATGAGTGTGAGAGTTGGGATTGAACCATCCCTGCACATTGCACATGCCTTTCAAAGGTTATGATTAAACCATGAAAGTGCATATGTGGAATTAACTTATCATAATTATCATAAGTTGACAATCCAAATGAAAGTTGACAATCTGCCACTAATATAAAAACGGGCCGGTTCTGTTGCCTAGTGGCAACGGTGCCACGTTTTTTGGAGCTGATCCTATTCCCTAACCCCAACCCCCTCCAAATATGTGGACAGAGTTCTACGCCCCTGCTCGAGAAGTTGAGATCTATGGAAAATTTTAAGAGGCCCCAAGCTTTGGATTGTTTTGATTTCCTACATGCTTTTAGACTAGGAGAAAAAAATGTCTTTTATACTTCTCAATAAAATAGAAACTAACAAATAATATATTTTCATGGGTTTAATATTGAACATAGATGTGCTTAACTCCCATGAAAATGATCCTAAAAATTTCAAAAATATATTGCATAATTCTAGTAATTTTCTAAAGAAGCAAAAATATCTGCGGCCCAGCACATTGCTTCATAGGCCTCTCATCTCAAGTGCGGGACTGTGTGTGACAAAAAATATCATAACTAGTTAAAATTCGATGGCCTTCGAATTATTGTTCTAGTATATCTTTCAATATGGATCAAAATTAGTCAGGCAAAGAAAGCTCCTATTGTACCCAAGCAACAAGGCAGTATCTTGGATCACATGAAGTGGAGCGGAATCACCAATCAGCAATCTCCTGATTTGAGGTGTAACCCCAACCGCAAAACCGACAATCTACATAACAAATGAACTGATCAATAACAGAAATGGGGTGGCTGGACATGTATTGTTTGAATTGTCAAAAGTCACACCAAAAGAACCTTACTGCTCCAGTGGTTGAAGGGGCTAATAAGCTCTTTAGATTGATCTTTCTTGAAATCATCTCAAGATACTGCTTAACTTTAGTTCCAAAAGATGCCTGCCATATTAGTATGGAGGGATATTAGCCCGATCTATAACACTATTCATAACACGAACTAACACCAACTCTGAATGACATGTGTAATTAAGTTCTCGGCTTCCTTTCACGCATGTGATCATTTTAATTTATCATATTTACGAAACGCAACTTTTTAAGGAAATATATGAATTAACGGCCAACTATCTGAGCTCAAAACAATAAAGTAGGATGAATTTTATATAGAGTCCGTTTGGTATATGGAATTGACGGAATTGGAATTGAATTGGAATTAGAATTCCATGGGATTCAATTCCATAGAATTGAATTCTGCCAATTCCAATTTATTTTTTGCACTATCAATTCCGAATTCACATAATTTTTGTGCTACCAAACACCAGAATTGGAATTGAAGTATTCAATTCCAATTTCACAATTTGAATTCCATGTACCAAACGGGGCGATAAGGAAACATAAAAAATGTATAAATATGTGTGCGCTTCAAAGTGGAAACGTAATTGCAAGATGAAGCGATCATAATAAGGAACCTGTTTACAGAGAATTTGAGTGATGTCAAGAAGCAATAACCTGAAGTTTATTGTGTAATGTATTGGAAGGCAGAACCTTTTGTTCTAAGTGCACCCCCTCCTCTTCGGAGCAATTATTTGATGGGAGTAGAGGTTCTATGCAGTTCCCATGTTCTAAAGTAGATCTTTCCACATAGGATTGACTGTGAGGTGAGTGAATTATTTCAACTTCCTTCGAACTTCTGCTTGATGACAATCTGATTATATTGTACACATACGACCAAAGATAAACTGCTCCTATCTGAAGTTTATGCATGATAGGATCCAATCGATTATATAGTTGAACCCAAAATCTTATTAATTTATTATTCACGCTTGAATATTCTCATGTGGACTCTAGTATGTTATGAAAGAATAAAAGAAAAAAGTGTCACCGTACCGCCATGGAAAGTGAAGCATAGCCCATTCCGGAAGTATGGCAAATGTCAGGATCACCAAATGGACTACCTTTCTCTTTACAAACTGCGGGAATTATAATAATGAGCATGTTCCCCAAGTTTCCTGCTCAAGAACAAAGAAAGAAATCAAATATTTTTTTATAAATTATGCTTTCTAGGGAAAAGCGAAATAGCCCCAAACTAACCTGCGGCACAACATCCCACAATAAGTCCTCGTAGATGTTGGGGAGCTCTTGTAACATGAACAACAACACATCCGAGAATCGAACCAATAACAAATGTGATGAAAATGTTGAGAGGCATGAACCACCTGATGGATGAAGAAAGTGTGTGCAACAAGGCATAAAGAGAAGAAGTGGAGGCGGGACGCGAGCAAGTTGTGGTGAGAAATAACAAAAACTCACATCTTTATTATGCTTTCATATGTAATTGAATTGGCCAAGTTGCTGGACACCAGAGAAGGATTGAATACAAAATATACAATCTGCTCCACACACACACACACACACAGAATACTACCTATTAATCGTCTGTTGCAGTAAGTTCGTGCATGAAATAAGAGCAAATCATACATACATTGTTCATATGCTTCCTTGCGTCCTCTCCCAACAAATCAAAGTGTTCCAGGGCGAGAATTGATCCGAGACCCGTCACCAGGAGCACTTTGAGGACTGGCATTGATGCCGCAATCAACAGGTCCATAAACTTCCCCATCTTCAGATTTTCTATCAACACAACCAAAATTTGTTTATTTAGGTTGGAGGGGTGGTGTACAAATGGGGTACACGTGCTAGCATCTCTCTTTTTGTTTTTCTATCTCATTTGGCACGTTCCAAAACGTTCGTGGTGAGGTCATTCACTTCCAAAATCTTCTTACTTTCATATCTAATACTCCTTCCCTCCCAGAGTATTTGTTCAATTTTAACTTTTTTAGTCAAAATTGTTAAATTTTGACTTTAAATTAAATAAAAATGATATTAGTTATTAATAAAAAAAATAGTTTTATTTGATATATTATATAAAATACAAAATATCTTTTTATCTAACTAATATACTATATATATTTTATTTAATTATAAATCAAATGTTGAAAATAATTAACTGAAAAAAGTCAAAACTGAACAAATACTCTGAGATGGAAGTAGTATTGATTACATAATTCCAATTTTTTTAAAAAAAAAAAATTATGCGTCACTCTTTCAAACCCCAACATTACTCCTATTTTTTATCCTGAATATTTAACGTGAAATTGGAAACGCATATTTCAATTTATAGGTTTGTGGGTTGTAAAGGAAAGACCAGTAGAAAAGTAACATGCGGTGACATCGAAGGAATTATTGCTACATTAGAGAAAGAAACGAAACAGATATCTGCCAAACTACTACAACGATTGGTACAAGGAAGGATGAAACCTCTGATGCAATAATCCCAATCTCCAGATGAGAACTTGTAATTGAATACGGATTACTGAAATGGAACACGGACACTAGTGCTCCTATATAATAATAGGTGCACCTAGAGTACCCCACTTCATGTGGACTTTTAGCATGCATATCCAAAACAGGGGTCATGTGCAATTTATTTTTTACAAAGGCGTCACTCTTGGTATCACTTGGCTTTTTGAAATAACAATGCCACTTCCAATGTAACCACCAATTTTTTATGGCGCCACTCCTAGAAGTTTTTATCAAAATGTCCTGTAAATATTTCGTATTTGGTAGACTACTTGTAAATTGACAGAAATATCCAAGCGTGTAAATGAGACACACTTCATAGAAAACGAAAAAGAAGGTCATTTAATGGAGCGTACACCCCATTTCAAGTTTAAATTTTAAAAAAACAAGAATGGGTGAAACGACGTTGGAAGGGTTTACACAAAAACCCTCCCAAAACATCTATTCCTTCATCGTGCGACCTTTGAGTTTTCGATCTCTCTCCCACCTCTTCAACATCTCCAAAAGTTTAACGAAACCCGCTCCACCCAAAGTCCCAGATCTCAAGAACAGTTTGGTTTCTACCATGAGGATGAAGAATGCTTCTGTGTCGTACTCCAAGAGTGAAGCGATGGGAATCATATAGAAAAAGACAGCCGCACAGCACATCAAAACCCAAAGTCCACTTAAGGAAATCTCCAGGTTAGAAACTTGATAATAAACTAGTTATTCTATCTCCGATTCAATCACTAAAAAAAGTCAATGAATGATCAGGATGGACGACTTACACACGTCGAGTCGACTAAAAAAAGCTCGACCTTCATCGACATTAGTCCTAGTTATTTTGATGTTATTCTGTATGAAAGTTTTTCACATTAAATGTGAAGGAATTTCCAAATATGAAGCTGACTGTGTAGTCTTCACTGCCAGACTTCCAAAAACCAATGAAGGAAAGGTTAACAGATCATATGGAA